CAATGACCGTCGAACTCTTGCGAATTATTGCACTATAATTGTTGTGTATCGTCGATAACTGATTCATTTGAGGGGAAAAAAAAAGTTCGTCTAGCGTGCGAGCTGCTCTCGTGATCAAGCGAGATTAGGTTTACATTCGACGAAAAACTTTCCACTTGCTTAGAACGTGATTATTTCTCATTTTACGAAATTCTTTTGCATCAAATTAAACAGAATATATTTGGTACACTTATTAGGTTATGTTTACGTTACATAAAACATTTTATTAGCGCCTGTAACACATGATACATTCATAAAAGATGTTTACAATATTATGTACGTATAACATAACCCTATATTTATCGATTCGTAAGCATTTTTCAAAATTTCACAGTTTCTAGAATTCTTGAATTTCTAGATATCGTATCTGTCCGGATTTTCGATCGATAAAGTAACTATCTATGTATTAAATTTTATCGCGCATTTGTCAAAATTAATTATAACAACTGCTTCACCTTCGTTATCGCGCGCGAACGCTTAATGCACATAGAAGTCGAAATATATCGATATCAATTTTTTTTCCGACGCAAAAAAAAGAAAAAAAAAAATCTTAATTCCCGGCTGATAAACTTGCGCGTCCTCGATACATCGAGGCGCCGCTGTTCTCGAAAAACCGATTGAAAGCGAATATTACCGCGAATTTATAACGCGATTTCTTTCGACCAATAAGAAAAGAGTTCGCGAAAGAGTGCACTAATTGTAAATACGCAGCACACTTGGTGGGGGTCTGAACCCCCCACCAAGTCATGTCATTATCAATTTACAAAATACAAAATACTGTGTAACAAGTATGATTTTTCTTTTTCATCGATTTTCTGTTAATGTAACACGGTTAGAAAGAAGAACAACTTGTTCCATCGAAAGATCCACGTCTTTTAACAATAAATGATAAATCATCTACAATATGACAAATACTTTTGAAATCGACCGATATAACCTTGTCACCGACCTTATAACCTTACGACTTCATTAAAAAAAATCAGTTTTGTTTGGCAAGATATTGGATGATAAAATGCTCTCGTAGGAAAA